TGTTAAAGTGATAGTATACGAAAGAAACGAATTTCGTAACGACTTCAGTTCCAGTACTCGTGGAACGGGAAAAGAAGCTAATCGACTAAAGAACATCGCGTCCACACATTCCATCGGTTTCGCATCGATCCGATTCCCGCGCGAAAGAATGACAGTCACACGAAACGCTTTGGAACGCTCCACACGAGGCGATCTAGCGCCAATCTGAAAGCCTTTCTCTATTTCCTCAAATCAGGAGATACTGCAGCGCGAGTGAATGACTCCAACTCCGCCCTGTAAACCTTCAGTCGGTTCTGTGTGGCCGTTTTGGGTGGCCTGCGCCGTCGTAGGGACGAATCTCTTCGGAAAACGAAACGATGAAACGGAATAAACAAAGGGGGAATAGGTCAGCGGATAGGCAACAGTCACGAACAATCTGGGTAGGGGGATTGTGTGTGTGGAATCGTTTTTCCGTGAATCGAGATGAATTCGATCGAGAATATTCGACGACATACACTGCCGTTCATAAGTACTAGGACACCTGGTCATTAGAAAAATTATATCTCTAACTCTTAATTGTTCTATCTCCACTAGTATCTACACTGAGAAAATTGAGCTTGAAGTTTACGAAGTTTAATATTCTAGAAGCAGGACAGTAGTGAAATAATCAAACACACTACAATATCATCTACCGAATAGCTATTTATTATAATACTTATTATAGCTATTTATTGAATTATTTTCAAGGTTGAATTTTCTTTATATTATGGTGAATCTGGACCAATGAGACATGCGTAGATTGATGAACTAAATTTTTTTGAAAAATGGAGTTAGAATAGTTAAAAAATCGAACGACAATGTGTCCTAATATTTATGAATGGTACTGTACATGCAAGGTGTCAACTTTAACCGCCGTGTTTCTGTGTCCTATAGAAGAATAACCAATTGTATGGCCCCGTGGCTCTCTGTACTTAATCGTTTTGTCCGCTCGAAATGTACTCGATCGGTTTTAGCTTCACGAGACCGATAATTTGTCTCGATTCCCGAGCTTGCGGAAGTGTATTTATCGTCCGACGTGTGTGCATTTAATCCTGTATGTATTCGCGACTCGATGGAATTCGTTGGAGATTTTCAAGCTTTCGGCCAGGCCGAAAATCGATTATACATCGTGATACGGTGCCACGGCCTACAGTATTAGAAGACTGTATCAGTCGAGATTCGACTAACGCGCGGAAATTCGTTCGAGCTGTTCTGTTTCTTGTCGTCGGTGTTTGGATAAACGTGGAATTGAAATGTGTTAATAGAATCCTTTAAATATGTTTGAATTGTAAGTCTCACGATTCGGTATATTTCTAGAGGATCGTTCAAGAGTCTGGGCACATTCGTCGTGTAAAATTGTTCTGTGGCTAAAGGAAGGTCAGATTCGTTGGAGATTCATGATAAAAATTGTGGTAGATATCTGTTTAAAGCTTAAAAATATGCAATAATAATACACTTCAACCTGCAGTAATATATCATCTGAACCTTCGACAAAAGAAGGTTTTAAAGATCCAGAAATATTCTAGAATTACTTCCTCTGACACGAAGCTGTATAATACAATTCAAATGTAAACTCCGAAAACTTCTGGATGACAATGTATATTATCGATGTTAATATTATAAAACAGTTTCAAGTTTGTGTACCCCAAAGAATATCGTGTGCTATCAAAAAAAAAATATTCACAATAAGCAAACGTTTCACTTGTGAGGCCAGACTTTTGAATGGAAGAAGTATAGATCAAAGGCTCGTCAGTTTTGGTAGTTCAATAAGGACAGTTAAATCGACAATTAAATTTCTGTCCACGTTTAAGAGAACGCCGATCACCCGAAGCACAATACTCTGTTATCACGGTTAACTGGTTCGCTCTATTCCTCTGTGTCTCGGCTGGAAAAACATGTCGTTATCGAATCCACTGACCTCACGCGAGCGATACAGGTTCAACCCGACAAGAGAGAGACCGTCGATTGTGTCGTATCCACTCATTACCTCTTTATCGTGACTAACAATTACCTCTCGTTACGTCCGGTTAATAATTGTGAACGCCGAGCCGTAGATCGCGTACCATTGGACGAACGTGAAATTTAGTTGAAAAAAAAGGGTTATGGGAAATAGATGTAAATAAACACGATCCGATTAGGGTTGCAGCCCTCAGTCCCGTTTTTGTATTACGATTAACGATGTTAGCCATCGATCGTGTACATGTACCTATATACATATATATATATTTACATATCTATATATATATGTGTGTGTGTGTCTCGCGTTCTATCTGTCCTTCTGTACGTAATTATACATATAAATTATACATATGTACACATTTAAACGAAACGTGTATACCGACATTATTTATCGGTTGGCCAATGAACTCCCGGGCAAGCTCGAACAATCGGAATCGTCGTGTTTGGGAGATTTTTGTACGATATAAAAACGGGAATTAGTAATATTGTGATAGTTTTATCTTCTGATTAGATTAAGAGTATAATAGAAAAAGGGAATTAGATTGATTAATAATTAATGAAGTTAAATATTAGTGATTATTTTTGCTCATTATCTTCTGTGATTCAGTATTCTTGCTCAGTGGATATCAAGACGAGTTCAAGTGTTCCCCGATATCAAGATACGTTCAAGTGTTCCCCGGTTTAGCGATCCGTAGAAGTCGGAATCTGGTTACGCTAATCCGAGCGTTGGTGTATCTTCGATATTTCTTCAGGGTTGTCTAGCATTCTTGATACGAAGTTAGTTTCATTTTAGATATCTTTTTCGACGAATCATCGATGGTATCGAACTATCGATAAATGTATACGTGGATAGATGAGATTAAAAAGCCTTTGAAGTCTCGTTTAAAGAAATGAAATTTTCGAAGCGGTCGGAGAAGTCATTGGCCATCCAGACGCATATTATAAATACAACTGCGCAAACTGTATTATACGCGATACGACAGACGTAAGAGTGATTAACGGAATTCCGATTTTACTGTGTACGGATATACATGTATATATATATACATGAATGAACAAGAAGTTTATATGTGTATAGAAGAAAAAAAGAGAGAGAGGTTCCAGTAGTCGCAGAAAATATGTAAACGCGTTGCTAATATTTAATAATAGGCGTGAGAGTTATCGTGAACGTTTTGAAAAACCAAAATGTTGTTCAATTTCACGTATATATATATATACATACATATATATGTGTATAACTTCGATGAATTCTTTTTGACAGCCTTCAGCCGTGATGTCTCTCGCTCTCTATGATTTTTTTTTTTAATTCTCTCGCTTTATGGTGTTAGGATCGCTATCCTCTCTTTACCTGTCGACGTATTTTATTCCTATTTCATTATTCCCCTGTAAATCGATGTACAACGACAATTAATAAGACGGGAAATCGATGTCTTTTCTGCTGCTGTTTTTTTTTTTTCATTCTCGATTCAGCCATTGAAATTCAGAATTGTCTGCAACGTGGAAGCGTTCCAATGGTCATTTCTATACCGCAAAATATATTTCGAATTACAATATGAATCTTTATCGTACGGACTTTCGTTTCAGATAAAAGTAATTTTGTATTTTAATACTCATAGTGACAATTAGTTCACCTACTTTTTATTTAAGAATCTTTCGGTTAATAACAAGCATAATATTAATATCTAGCCAAGACCACGTATCATATTCGATTTATTTTAAAAAATAAAATCTTTTTCTGACGTTCCACAAATTATTGTCTAACCTGTACAATTGTATTTCGTATCATGCGAAAATTTATGGATCTTAAATGTCTGATTAAGTTCTATTTCTGATTTAGTACAAATGCATCTCAATCAATACACTTTCTCGGAACCAATAAACCGATAAAGAAAAACGATTTCCCAGTTCCAATGGCTGAATCACGCGTCGATCGTGCTGTTTTTTCGCGGATTCAGACCGGCGGCCGAGAGAGAGAGGGGAGAGGGTGAAGCTTGCTAAACTCGTAGCTTTGTTAACTCGATACTCTTCCAGGAGTACAATGTAATATCACTATTGTTATCGTAGCCATTAACACGAGGGATGGGGGGACAGTAACAGTCTTTATTAGCGATCTTGAAAGTGTGATATTTTTTTAACGAACATATCGCAACGTACGTTCGAGTATTCAGCGAGTGATTTCAATGCTTGCACGTGGTAGTAGAGAAAGGATCTCTCTCAAGATGACGGGGGAGATCACAAGGGAGGATTAAGAGGCGAAATATATCGTGGATCGATGGTTACACGTTTCGAGGATAAAATCGTGCCAATGCTCATAATTTTGTGTTTTGAGAGGTCTCGACGAATCGAAAGGAACGCTCGTCTGTTTAACCCATTAACAGTTTATCCCCTTTGAGACTCGGCCACGACGTAATTATTAAAACAATATGTGCAAAACATGTTTTTTTTTTTTTTACATTTTTTATCCTGGATAGAAGTAGTTTAGTTTTATTATAGTAAAGAAAATATATATTATATATTAAATTATTATTAGTATGTATTAAAATATACAAAGCTTTTGCCACAAGTCGTAATTTTATTCGACTGTTAATGGGTTAACATGAATCACTCCGAGCGACGAGTCGAAAATAATTCTCTTCTTACATGCTTCTCTTTGTCGCAACGCCTCCGTGCCCTCTCGATGATCGTTCACGAGCTGTTAAACCGGCATACAGACATGTCTCGTTCTGCGTTGCGTGTGTGCTTCAAAGGAGGAAAGGATTGCAATTAACTTTGTTGAAATTAACCATCCGTCGTTGATTAACCTTGTTGAGCAACGTTTTTTTGTGTTCATTCACCGTTTTCTTTTCGTTTTTTTTTTTCATTTTTTTTCGTTTTTTTTCCCGGTTGCAATTCTGTGGGTGATTAATTAATTCGTCCATGTAACAATACGATTCGATTTTCCATTGGAAACCTGTATTTTAGATAGTGTTTGATTTTATCTTAATCCTTTCACAGTGAAACGAAATTATGAACATCGGTGCAAGTAACTTTTACTAGTTTTTTAAATACAATTGTAATACACAAGTTCACGTTTTACTTCGACAGTAAGACCTTCTTTGTTCTCTAAATAGATCTTTCCATTTTATATTTTCCAAGCATTCATAGAGCATCGTTCAGAGCCGATGCTTAGAGAAGTAATATTAGAAGTATACTTCAGATGAACGTCACACTGACTTCGAGAAGCAAACCAGACTTCTACTTTACATTTGAAACAAAACATTCTTTAGATACATATAATAACTAGTCCGACGTGTAATATTTCTGGAGAGGTACTTTATAAAATGTCATTTTGCATAAAAATCCGCAGTCCACTCATTACAAACAGAATGATTCAACTGTCTTGACATCTTCGAATTATTCACCAATAATTTTTCAAAATTCGTACGGACCCTGTGGAAGGATCAAAATAAAACATCGATATTCGTGGTTAATCAATGTTTCTTTTCAAATGTCCGAGTTCCCAAGCTTAAAATGGTCGGGTCTATGGCAACACAGACAGACCAGCAACGAACACTCGAAACTTATCTGTTTTGTGCTCGTGTTCAGAGACGAACGAGCGACAGCGCGATGGGTCTTGTGGAACAAAGAGCATCCCTTTCGATGTACAGACAAGTGAGAACGAGTTTCAAACGCGCCAGTACGAACCACGCGTCGATCATGAGGAGCATGCAAAGAGCGCTGAGCATTCAGCGCAGGGAGCCATGAGGATCCAACCGAGCCCGATCGTAGAATCATTAAAATCTCTTTTAGAGTTTAGAATTTTTTTTCCATACAAAACGAAAGTAACGCATAGAACAAGAAACTAGAGTGAACAATTCGGTGGAATAATCGACGAAATCTGTGATCGCGTGAGAACGTGAAAAAATTTGTTCTTTTTTATATCTATCTATTCGTAGATGATGACACTTTTAGCGTACTTTCGCGTTCTTAGACTTTGAAGTGTAGAAAACTAGAAAAGTCTCTTTCGTATACGTATGAATTATCCACATTCAGTTCTGAGTAATCTGTCGTAATTATTATCCCTTCGATATTTTTTATCACATAACGCAAAATTGAATGGAACTGGAAATTTTTTAATTAAATTACGAACCTAGCAATTTTCTCACGAATAACAATATTGATGAACGTAATCGTGTTACATAGAGACTTTTCTAAGAATTCCCGGAATATATTACTAAATTGGACTCGGTCAGCCGTAAAAATCGTGTGTCCCTCCTCGTCAAGAACAAGAACGATGCCTGTTTAACCAGTTCGAGCGATACTCGGGCACAAGTTCGATCTTAATCCTCTCGTGACCGTAGATCAGCCTTGCGTCTAAATGTCTACTTAAACTAACTACGTAAGAGTTCATTCGTTTCCTTTATTATTTCGTTTTCGTTTCGTTGCATCAACGTCGTCGCGTGCACGCGTTTAAGGATAATTGTTCGAACAATTAGCAGGAAACGGTGGAGACGTGAAGCCTTCATTGTTTAAGGGAAATATCGAAAGCAATATACAAGATCCGTATCAGATGCATTCGCGGGGAGCCGATTCGCTATACGGGGCGACCTTCTTCGCGGTGATTTCGTAATCTCGGTGCAAACGTGCCAAGGAATTGGCAGGACGAACGAACGATCCGATGGAACGACTCGCTCCGCGATTATACGAGTGTCTCCTTCGTCTTCGACCTTTTCTTTTTGCATTCCCCGGACGTTTCGTGTCGCCTCGAAATTCGTGTACCCGCCGGTTTTAGGCGAGAATCGATCGGCTGTTCACGACTTCGAGCGAACGACTGCCTTTTTGTATCGACTTTGACATCACAAACGGAGAAGGTAATACGGAATTGTAATGAAAGATTGTATTTTGAATTCTTAATCGATTTCATGATGGTAATGTTTATAAGAATTTTAAGTAGCGTAGAATGTTAATGGCGAATTTGTGTTATTACAATAGCAATTTCAATACTAACGAAAGGATTTTTATTCGTGGAAAATAATTGTTGAATTTTTCATTTTTCTTTGTGATGAAGTTCTGCCATAGTCAAGTCAACAGAAATTGACTACTTAGAATCATTGAAGGGATACTCATATTACTGTAACATTTTCGAAAGAAGACGAAGGATTCTCTCTGGACCCGGAAAATACACTTCATGATATGATTTTTATCAAAGAGTCAATCGTACGTAATTTACTCGTGCCTACTATTTTACTTAAAACGGGTCATTATCTAAAAATCAACTCCCTGTACCATTTGAAACGTCACAGAGAATGTTCGAGTAAGAAATGTTTCGTGCGAACGCAGAGAAATCCTAGGAAAAATGTGCCATTGAAAAGGTACTCCATTGAGTATATACGAAGTACGTGCACAATTGAAATTGCAAGTACCGATGCGAGCGAAAAGGTTGTAGGACGTGTTAACCCTTTAACAATACCATTTGCATCTAAAAAAAAAAAGTAGAATCATAACCGAATAAGACTGTGGTTGTTTATGTGAACTCACATTTTAATACGCAAATTTAGAAAACTGTAAATTAAACGGAAACTTATTTTTTTGTCTTAAAAAACTTTAAACTTATTTCTGTTACAAGATGTGGACAATACTTATTTAATGAAGGTGTTATTATACCTTCCACCTCTAGAAATATATTTCCGTTTAAGTCTGGTTTTTGTATAAAATTCTCCAGAAAAATTTAAGCTTCCGTAAGCATGCACAGTTTCACGTGAATATTTCAAAGGATAGGCATCTATACATTATTGTCAAAAATCAAAGTTGAAGGGTTAAAATAGAGAAACGAAGGGATACCGAATGGCCCGGTTGCGCGGCGCGATCCTCGTCGACCATCTCGACGGTCGTCATTCCGTTTGGAAGGGAACGCAAATGTTTCGATCCTATTTTTATTAGTCACCAGGGAGGGAGGTTTCTTCTATTCTAGTTTAACACACGGAACACAAATCCGTCGAGATATCGCGGCAGCCGGTCCATTTCTGTCCGACCATGATCCACAACGCGAACGAAACGTAATAATCTTACGTTAGCCATAATAAATCGAGCAACCGATCAACGAGCATCGCCGTACCGCGAGCGATCGTTCGACCGTACTGTTTATTACAAAGCGAGAGTTGTCGCTTTCACCGAGTATTCCGGCAGTACGTATTACGATTATTACCATTACCATTATGATTATTACTATCATCATGATTATTGATATTATTTAAATAAAACAGTTATTATTCTTACGAGTGTTTCTGTTGTTCTCGTACAATTCAAGCTGAGCATTCTCGTTGGGCGTGTGTGTCTGTATTTTACCTTTTTCAGTATGTTTTGGCTTCTTAAAAGAAATTTTATGCAAATACTGGAATACTTCGTAGTTTGTCCATAGACAGGGTGGTTCATCTGATATTACTATTTCGATTTACGTGACTGTTATTATTCGTAGGGAAAAATATCAGTCATGTAAATCAATGTGGTAATATCTGGTGAACCACCCTGTATATTTTGTACTTTTAATGAAAATTAATCGATTCTATTACGTAGAGGCTTATGAAATAATTCACTATATTGAAGTGAGCTAAAATTCCTAGTATACAATCAGAAATGTTTGTAAATAATAAAGGTGAATCCATCTTTCTCTTGTTCGCAAAACGAATTTTAGCTCACCCTGGACCGTATATTCGTGTGTTTGCGTGTGTGGTTGTGAAAAGATTTCCTGAAAAAGTTTTTCGTTCCTGTCCATTCAGAACGATCGATCGATCGATCCTCGATACCGCAAAAACCCCTCCGTTTTCACCCTCGGCGCACTTTATTTTTGCTTTCTTTTTACCGACAATTTTTTTCTTATCCTGGTTTCTTTATTTGCACCCGTTTCAGACCCACCTGTAGTCTCAAGCGAAACGAAGATATTTCTGTACAAAAAAAAAAACAAACAAAGCGAACGCAAATATACAAAAAAAATTTTTTTGTATGCACGAGAGAGAGAAAGAGAGAAATTGACTGCGGAGCCTGTGAACCCTTGCTGTTGGCGCATTTAGAGAAACCCTCCCCCTCCGGAATTACCGTGAAAATGCATTAGGACGTTGATCGTAAGTTCACCAAACCACGTAGGCATAAGTGAAGCGCAGCTTAATGTTATATTTATAGGGTGTTCCGAAAATATCCGACCGGGAAAACGGTTTCCGACACGCGTTCCAATGGATTTTTCCATTGAAGTAAAAAACGTGGCCGTTTTTACTGACATCAGATCATATTGCATGATTAACACAAAAATATCAAATAATCGATCATAACTCGTCGTCGACTATTATTTCTTATGACCATATTTAGAAAATATCAATTTAGTCCTCTGTATTCTTAAAATAAATGAAAATTCGTAACTGTCGATTGTCAATCTGAAGAACGCAAACTTCGATCGACACTCATTTGAATTATTTTGTTCGGCATAAAAGGCAGTAGTCCAAATTTCCTGCACGGCTTCAGTATAATTTATATTAAAAAATTAAAATGTTCTGATGTATTCTGTGAAAGCACAGAGCAATAGATGTAATAGGATAAAATTTCATGGATATTTTCGGAACATTTTATATTAGCGAATAAGAGATCGAACCGAGACGGCCATTTTGGTACCGTTCATCGTCTTCTCGGCACGGTTTGACTTCCTTCGAGAAGAATTCGATAGAATTGAGTAGAATGACCAATACGATCGTCTCGGGCCGATATTAGGCAATTTAACTATTTAATTCATTACCCACTTTATTCGTCGTGCAACGCCAGGAATTTTTTATTTCCTACCCGCTAGACTCACGGTCTGGCTCACGCGTAGTATATACACAGCACGTCCCGTGTAAACGCAACATTTCTGAGATCCACTTTTGGATAGACTGCAATGCGTTTATTGTTTCTCTCCCTTGTTTCTCTTCTCGTCGTTCGTCTGACGACGAAAACGGCCGTCGATAGGTGATATCGACACCGTAGAATAGACGATACTTTTCGTGTCCCCAGAGCCAGATATTAACTCGTCATGGAATCTCAAAATGGAATAATATTCGTGAAATAACGTCGACGCCGTAGCTATAGATATTTCATTGTTTCTATTAATCGGGCATTTTCCGAAAATTGTTCTTGCTTCGGTGGTACACACTGCCTCACGAAATATTTAACGATTAATTTAACGATTCGTTTAATAATTGGAATCGTTAAGTAAATGTTGACGATATTTTTGCGCTGTGTTCGTGTTCGTAATTGAGCAACTACAGCAATTGTCATTTAAATTAGCTGTTACTGCGTCGATCATGATCCCATGAAGCAAGTATAAATCGTCGAGAAGTTTCCTGAGATACCAGCGAGACTCGTACGTGATATTACGTGTTCGATTCATTCCTTAGTTTAAATGAAGTTTCGTGGTAGTCCCCTTCGAATTCGGTATTTCGTTGCGAAATAATGTCTGTACAGGGTGTTCCATAAAATGTGGACGTTTTCAATCTGAAATCCAAAGAAATGATAAAAAATGAATTTTTATGGATAATAGTGGGAACAGTCACCTTAAATTGATAATCAATCCTGTTCCTATAGTAGCAACTTTTCCTGCATCATGTCGGAAGTTAAATAAACTTCTTTTCATTATTAAGTATTCTATTAAACGAAAAATAACATCTTTTGTTTCATTGTTTTAAAAATTCGTAAGTCTTTTAATACATAAGTGAATTATAAAATTAGAACAAATTATACCCTAATTTTTACACGT